GGGTACACAGTGAATAAAACTTCAGCCCAAACAACAGATATTTGAAAAGCTGTAGGCTAGAAACCCAAAATATACCAAACTTTTTTTGAACTAATCCTACTAAACTGATAAGTCCATAGCAAAGGGTTGCTCAGTGTTGTTCTCCTTGGTGTTCTTGTGGGTAAACACCACTCCAGTTATGTGATTAGATAGTCTGTATCTGCAAATCCTACCAAGCACACAGTGAACCAGAGGAGGAGGTTTATCTCAGTTCTCAGGCAATCTTGTTCTTTGCGTTCTTCTCCCCTTTGATTTAAGATGTGACAACAGGAAAATAAGCCACCAGAGTTGTCAAATTTAAATGTGTCATTTCTCTGCTGTGATTCTTGAGGAGAGGAAACATGAAAAGATGGTGTAGTGGTTTGAGCCAGGTTTTTCCCCCTGAAGCTAAAAGTGGTAACCCCCAGGGGGTGGTGACCCTTGGGGTTTGACCCAATCAGTGCTCCTGCAAAATATAAACATATCTCTCCACTGGAAGAGAAGCAGTGGTACTTGTTGTTAGAAGAAGAGGTGGCCATGTTGTGGTGAGCCACGAGGAGCTGGGGCTCCGGCCCCTTAGGGGGCTCTGTCCCCCCAGCCCCCGGTTGGGGGGCTGCAGGGACTCAGAACTGGGCTGAGTGCCTGTGGCTAAGAGCTGGGAGAATTTCTCCCGATAGGCAGCCTTGGGAGACGCTGGGAGCAGACGGAGCAGCAGTAGACACAGCAGCGTCCGAAGAGCAGTGGCAAAGAGCCAACTGATAAGGACCAAAGGAGCAGCAGAAGCCGGTATGCTGCATGGAAGACACAGAGATGTCTGAGGAGAAAGGAAAGCAGAAAGGCAGCACCTGAAAGAGGACTGAGCCAGCAGCAGGAACAGAGTTTCGGGGTAAGAACTGGATAACCCAAACCCCCAAACTCACTGGAGATTCCTCTGAGAGAGAGGAGGATGATTGGACTCACTTGGAAGAGTCTTGGAGTGCAGTATGCACTACAGAGAGGAGCAAGAAGCTCAGACTGTCCTGAGAGCTAAAGCCAGGACGGCCAAAGGAATGTGTGTGGAGGGGGTGAGCTTGGGCTTCCCCCCCCCCCTTGCTGCAGCTTCAGAGAAGCTGGCAGCCATCTTTGAGTCAGAGCATGGGAGCTCTGAGAAGGGGCTTGGATTCCCCTGAGGATACCAGACCGTCACGAAGACCCCGGTGCTTCGTGATATGACCATGGTGTAGCGGCCGTGTCTGGGGTTACGCAGCCCATGGAAAGACCCCTTGTTTGGAGACGGGGGCCGAGAGAGACTTGGAAACCTCCCTCGTGTGTGCTGGCAGAGAGCCAGCAACTGTTTCTGATGGAAGAGAAGAAGAGAGCCTGCTGCCTAGAGAGGGAGACCTGCTGCTCAGGGACTGGAAGGGGTCTTTTCTTCTTCTTCTCTCCTGGACTTTTATTTGGAGGGAGAAGAGATTTGGCCCATTGTAAATATTATTGTCATGGTAGAGATAGATATAGAGTTAAGATTGTATGCAGTGTATTATAGTATTTATTTGCTGTATAGTCCTGTAATATATTCCTTTCCCCCATATTGAGTCTAGTGTTTTTGTCTGGAAAACCCATCTCACATGGGGTTGAGATGTGGGAGGGGGGGCTAGGAATCAGAATTGGATTTTGGACCTTTTCAAACCATGACAGATGGGTATGTTCCTAAGAAAGCACTCTTCAAAAACTAAAACTAAGGAAGTAGAAATTAGAATCTTCATAAAATATATTATCTCTGTGATATTTTTCTGTGGACGCAGAGTGTGTTGGTAAAGGGAGGGAAGGGCTGGCACATGCCCACATCCAGCTCTGATAAGAAACTGGGAAGTGTCTGCCATCTGGGACCTCCCAGATAACGTAGATTAGGTTTATCACAAAAGTAAACAGGCAAGTCAGTTTAGGGACTGCACTGTTGCTCCTGCCCTGGACGTAAGCTGACAGAGCCATGTTGATTGCACACCCTACAACACAGCCTTTCTGATTTGCACACCTTAAAACCAAGAGAAAGCAAGCAGAGAACTCAACCAGGAACCCACCTTGGACTGGAAAGGGATGGGTTGTTCCTGCCAAAACAGGAGAAGATCTTAACTTGGAGCTGTGACAGTTTCATCATCACTTGGGCTCCATAAACCAGGAAAAGAGCACTTTGGGAAAGACCTACTACAGCTCAGACAATAGTGAGAGATATTTTGAGGTGATGTTACCTGTAACGGTCCAGGAGCTTATAAGAACAACTAAGTCACCTTCTCTGAGGGAACTTCAGGCAGGTGGGATTTTGCTCAGACTATTCTCAGAGTGCATTTTGGAGGTCACCCTGTGACCTTCTCATGCCTCAGCCAAGACCCAGGCCTGGCTGTATCGAAGCCTTCAGGATCCCCCATCCCAAGGAGCTCATCCAAGGATGACAGAGACAGTCAGAGAAACATGGCAGGGGGATGCCCTGCTTTTGTGTCTCCACCAGCTGTGCCTTGCTGAGTGGACCTCCCTCTTGGCTTCTGCAGCAGAGAAGAAGTGTTTCAGGGCAGGGAGCTGGAGTTGACCAGCACAATGGCTGGGTCATGCTGGCACTAAGATGTGAAGAGGAGGTTCCCTTCACACCTTTGGCTGCACACTGTGAGTGCTGGGCTGTTGAAAATGCCCCAGCTTTATTTGTGGCCACTCTCAGGCAGCTGTGCCCACAGGCTGGGAAGGCAGGTGCTCTGCCTGGCTGCGTACACGAGCTCTGCTGCTCAGTCTCCTCTGGCAGAGCTGAAGGAGGCACTGGGTTGCCCAATCCTGGCAAGCCCAGGCACTGAGGTTGAGTGCCGGTGCCTTAGAAGTGCCGAAGAGGAATGTCTGGGTGTTTCTGTGGTCAGGTAATAGCTGAATGAAGGCTTTCTTGAGCTGTGCCCTTTGCACCAAAATTTAGCTTGAATTCTTTGTTGCATCAATTCCTCATTCTTGCTCACGGTGCAGCTTCCTGTCCTTGCTATACACTAATGTTTTCAAGCTTCTCAGAAGTGCATTTCTTCATTATTTATCTAGTCTGACTGATTGCCTGGGCATTATTTTGTCCCTTGTTTGGGACCTCCCCTTTGTCATCTCCTATCACTGGGATGACAGCATGAGTACTCCTTGCATGAATGCTTGTGTGAACGCTTCATGTGTGCCAACATCCAGGGAAAGTGCAGAGCTGGGGTAGCAAATGCTGACACATAGTCTTCCTTTGAACAAATTCTTGAAGAAGATTGTGGGAGATGTCTATATCTGGCTCTAGTTTATCCAAACATCTGATAGGAGAATGGGACTCTCCAAAAGCAGACATCATTATTAATGAAACTCAGGGTTTGTATGTGTTAGCTGAATTTCACACCTCTTTCCAAGTAATAGGGAAAAATATTTAGGCCTGATAATAAGTAATGAATCCAGATATTTTTAAGAAGATGAATGTTTAGCTACTGGTTGTAGATAAATCATTTTTTAACAAAGCATTTTAAAGAAACTATTTCAGTAGTTTTGGACTGCTGGTCCTAAGATGCTCTCTGAAATTCCAGTTCATCTGTGCTCCAACAAGGACTTTGCTTAGAGGATGCAAGAAGCAGAATCCAATGTTTGTTTTTTTCTCTGACCTACTGCTGAGTAATTGAATCATCCCAAGCAACAAGCTAATGTTTTTCCTCCCTGGGAGAACATAATGTTACCAGGAAGAAGAGAAGAGAGAAAAAAATCAAAAAGGCAGCTGCAGGTATTTATTCCAAATGCCATACAGTGCATATCTGAGACCAGGAAAGATGTAGCTGAAGAAAATACTCAAAAATCCAAATGAGCATGGGTGAGTGGTGCTGAGCCCCTGACTCCTGTGGGGTCCAGGAGGGTACAGCAGAACTGGCTGATGCCATGGAAATGCAGATAGGCAAAACAAAGAATGTAGGACATGAGTTCTGGCATATTATTCAACATTTCCAGGGTAGATATATAAATTATAGGTGCTCAGAGGTGCTAGAGCACCAGCTCAACAGATTGGCTACTTCCATATAGCAAACAAGATGCTGAGAGAGGACAACCTGGCCTCATTATGACTTAGTAAGTACGCAGATGAGTATCCATCTTCCAGTGACGTGGCTGAGCTAACTACTTTGAGCCAGGACCTGTTGTGGGTAAATTTTTAATTCAATGTCCTGTGGGCAGGAAGAGAAATTAGGCAGAAACTCCCAATTCACTGCCCTGGACAGAGGCAGGCAAACTCATGACAAGTATTGCTGCTGTCACCTAGTAGATGCTGAAGTATCAAGCTTTTCTTTGCCCCAGACTGGCTACATGTGGGATTGGACTGCTCTGTTGCAGAAGTGGTGGCCTTATTTACATGACTAAAATATCAGTCATAATAATGCTCCAGTGCAAATGCATGGATGTTTCTTTCATTTCATTCACTGTTTCTTTCATTTCATCCTTCCTGCAGTGCTGATTTTTAGGGCTGATGCAGTCTGTGGCCTGAAATAGTCATCTGGTCTTTGGCGAGGGAAAAGTTTCTAACCCTTGCTGGCTAGACATGTGTTTTATAAACTTCTGTCCCAGAGAAGTGGTGGGAAATGAGTGAGTTTTTTAAATAGACTGATCTAAACTGATGTTGCCATGAATGAAAAAGCCCAGATAGAGAAGATGTGCTAAGGGTGTGGGTAAAGGCCCTCTAATTCAGCAGCCTTGAGTGTGTCCAGCAAGATCTTTAACTTCACTTAATGTTGTGGAACTGGACCTTCAGGACAGGGAACTTTGCAGCCTGAACTGCCCTCGTACCTCTGTGTCTGTGCCCACTGCGCAAGGGGCAAAAGAAAGGCAGGAGCGAGCCTGTGTGCTTTGGGGCTCAGGGTTTGTTCTGATTGAGTTCCACAAAGATGCAGCCAAGGGGGAGAAAGCAAATGTTTATTAAGCTAAGGGGAAGGGGAGGGATGAACCTTCTTAACCTAAGGGGAAGGGGGAGGAATGAATCTTCTTAACCTAAGGGGAAGGGGAGGGATGAACTGTGGGCAGGAGAAGGGAATAAGCAGGGAGGGAGGGAGCTGTACATAGGGATGGAGAGGCCAGGAGCTGGCTGGCCTTGCCGTCAGGCTCAGTTGGGTCCAGCCCAGGACCGCTGAGAATTGGTGTTTTTGCTGTTGTCTGGTGCTGTTCCTGGCACATTGGTTGTCTTGGTGGAGAAGATTACTTAGATACTGCCCGTCGAAAAGCAGACAAGACTGCAGTGCGCATGGTGGAGTAGGAGGGGCAGTTGTCTTCGGTCATGACTTCCAGGGCTGGAAGAGAGAGGAAGGGAGCCACGGTCAGAGCCCGGATGTGTGGGGAGCCGAGGAGCCCCTCCTACCAGGGCCATCCCAGCCAGCTCTTGCCATGGGCAGGAGGGAGCAGGGGCCACCAGGATGAGCCGGCAGGTGCTGGCCCCCAATCGCCCCCATGCCCCTGAAATGTGTCTGCTCTGCCCACAGCACCCCTCATCCGTGCAGGGAGCAGAGCCCAGTGCAGGCGGGACAGGGATTGCAGCTCCTTGCCCAGAATCTGTACTCCTCCCCACCAACCTGCAGGGACACCCTGCTGTCCTCACTCACCATTCATGACGGGCTGCAGGTCTTTCATGTGCCAGGCAGCGATCCCTGGAAACAGAGAGCGTGTCAGGGCCCCAGTGGCACAGCTTCCCCCAAGAGCTGCTGCCAGCCAAGCCACACGGCCTCCTGGCCTGGGCAGCCTGAGCCCAGGGCCTTCCCACATCAGGACACCCAAAGGCGTGGCTGGCAGAGGGTGGCAGCAGCTGCCAGGGCACTCGGGGCTCCACAGCACATCCCTGGGCCGCATCCTGCTGCCGCTGGAGCAGCCAGGGCTGGGGTCGAGCTGTAGCGGGGCGGGGAGGGACCGCGGGCTTGTGGCTCACCCATGAACCTGACGGCCACCTCTCGCAGGGGCTGCTGTGGGCTCTGCAGGTATGGCAGGGCTTGGTGGAGGTGCTCATCCCTTTGGCTGACGTCCTTGTCCATCTGGAGAGAGCAGCAGGGCATGGAGGGAAGGGTTGGGTGAGGTTCTGCCCCTTGTCTGGGTGCTGCCTTCACCCAGCACTGGCCTCCCCTGCCCGCACGGCCCTGTGGCCTGGTGGTGCTGGGCTTTGGAGGGAGCAGAGGAATGGGTGCTCCTGAGGAGCCACGGAGCTGCCCTGCCCCACAGCCCAGCTGGGCCAGGGCTCCAGCGGCCCTCTGGCTTGGGAGCAGAGGAGCCTGGAGAAGAGCCTGCAGGGCCGAGGGAAGGCAGCAGCGTGTGGGGTGCAGGCTGGTGTCCCACAGGTGGGTGCAGCAGTGGGCAGGGGCACAGGGCCAACCCCAAACCCAGGGCATTGGGGGCTGGGGGCTTGTCCAGCCTGGGGCTGGGCCTTCAGGGTCATCCTTACCAGGCAATCGCAGAACTTGATGGGCTGCTCTCTCCTCAGCACCTGCTCGAGATCCCTCCTCTTGAGGAAACTTGCAGCAGAAAGCAGTGTTTCCCGAGAGGCCTGCAGGGCAGCAGAGACCAGGACATGGCACCAGGGCAGGAGACGGCTGAGCCCCCTGCCACAGGGACACCAGAGCCCACAAGTGCTCACCTCTGCCACGCGCTGGTTCTCATCGTGCAGATGGAAGAACAGGGGGACCAGGCTCTGGTGCACCTGCGTATTCAAGGTCTTTCTTCCCTCTTCCGCAAGCAACTCCATCACCTCTTGGAAGAGGCGTATGGAGAGCAGCTGCACGTGGGTGTTGTCCTGGTCCAAAAGAAGAGAAAAAGACCTCAGCACTGGGTGCTCCAGGCCCAGCAGGCACAGGCACAGGCCTGAAAACCCACAAGGCACAAAGTTTTGAGGCAGTGCCAGGCACCCAGAGCCTTACGTTATCAAAGAGTGGTTGGAGCGCCTCGGCCAGCTTCGGGGCAGTGGAGCTGAATGCTTCGATGTCCTTGTCCTGGAGCATGTTCAGGAAGACAGAGAGGGTCATGCTGACCACATCTCCGTCTCCATCATGAAGCAGCTCCACCAGGTGCTCAGCCAGGCTGGAGATGCTTTCGGCCTGTGTGGAAGACAGTGCTGTGCTGTGAAGCCCTGAACAGCTGCACCACCAACAGCTCTCTGGTGGTGCAACCCCACCCTGCTGCCCCAAAGGCCTTTCCCTCAGGGCCAAGGCAGCTGAAGAGGGAGGCAGGAGAGCCAGGAGCAGCTGCCAGAGCTGCCAAAGCCCAGCCAAGCCCAAGACCCTGAGCTCCCCAGCCCCAGACTGCCAGTATGGCTTCAGCCGGGTGTCCCCTTCTCACCATGGAGGGATCCACACTGAGCACAAGGAGTCCTCTGAGCGCCAGGCGACGGCTCTCAGGGCACTGGCTGCGCAGGTGCCTTGATAGGATTGGCAGGACACTCTCATGACACTTTCTCCCCTCCAGATAGTCCAGGAGCTGGAAGGCAGAGAGCAGTGATGAGGTGCCTGGGCTGCAGGAGCCCAGAGACGCAGAGGGCTGTGCCCAGGCAGCAGCACAGGGTGTAGGCACCATCCTGGGCAGCTGCGGCTGTGAGAGGGCAGAGAGGGGGAGGCAGGTGGGCAAGGCAGCGCTCGCCATCAGGCTCACCTCAACAAGGATGGCCAAGGCAGGCAGCTCCCAGCGGGGCTCCTCCCTGCTGAGCAGCCTGAGCAGGTGGGTTGCGATCAGGGAATAGAAGGGGACTAAAACGCTGCGCATCTCCCTGTCAAGAAAAAAACAGGAGCCATCGACCCTGAGCAGGGTGGGCAAAGTTCTTCCAGGAGTGATGCCCAGAGGCCTGGTCATTCCCCAGTAGCCCTGGATGGGACGCAAGCAATTTCAGATGTGGCTTCTCCTGTGCACCCTCCTCTCGCTTCTTTTTCTGAACTGCTCCTCAATCCCTTGGTGCCAAGGCCCTCTGGCTCATGGCCACAGGGACTGTGTGGAGTGCCCCATGCCCAGGGGAGAGATGATGGTGGCAGTGGGGAGAAGGATGTCTCACCTGGCCAGCAGCCCAACTGCATAATGGTGGGTGTCAGGATGGAGGAGGGTGTCCCAGCCACGTTTACGTTCTATTGCCACCACCGCATCCTCCCAGTGTAGACAGCAGAGCAGGGCCTTGATGGTCTGTACTGCAAACCTGTGTGCAGAGCAAAGGCCAGGTCATGCTGGGAGCCCTGGGCCCAGCCCCGAGGGCATGGGAGGGGGAGAGGACTGGGATGGAGCACCTGTTGGGGTCGTTGGGAAGCTCATGTTGCTCCTGGCATTGCCTCCAGAAGATCTTGACCTCCTCTGGCATCTGCTCTGTGCTCATGTAGACTTGGAAAAGCAGAGCCACGAGGAGGTGGGGGGCATAAATCATCAGTGCATCTTGGCACTCGGGCTCCTGGATGATGAGCCGCAGTGCCAGGGTTGCCT